TTCAAGTTCTCATCTTTTTTTTTAAATTCTTACCATTTTTCTAGAATACCCAAAATAAAGGATGAGAATTTTTGACCATTTTAGAAAGTTGATTTTGGATGCGAATATTTCGGAAACCAATCTTCTTGTTGATTTGGGATTAGTTTCCCTCAGATAGATGTATGATCTTGTGCAAACACAATTTTTTCATCACTTTTTGGACACTCATTTCTTCAGGAATGATTCTAAAGAATTCCTTAATATATTTGTTTGGATTCCTCCGGAATTTTCGATGTTCGCCTGAAATCTTGGTCCGGGATCATGAACACGCATTTTTTTTTGAGTCCGTTCGCTAAAATCTCTCTCTAAGAATTTTTGTGGATTTTTGGGCAACTTTGACAAAAGTTCAACTTTTCCATTGAATTTTTGACCTTTTATCGAACACCTTCGAAAATTGTTGACCTATTAATTTGTTGTTGATTTTGACTTCCAGAGGTTGGTTTCCCTTTCATTTCTTGGAAATTCCTACTGTTATTCCAGAATTTCTGAAACGAAATGTGTCAATTTTTGGGACTTATTATTTGTGCCAAAAGTTCAACTTTTCAATACTCCCTCCTTTGAATTTTTGATCTTTTATCCAACACCTTCAAACATTCTTTAAAGAGATTCTTTTGTTGATTTTGACCTACAGAACTTGTTTTCGGTTTCATTTCTTGGAAAATTCCTACGGTTTTTCCAGAATTTCTGAAACGAAATGTGTCAATTTTTGTAATTTAAAAACGTGACTTAGAAACCGAATATTTGAAAAATTTTGGTCTGGCAATATTAATGCTTAATACGTTATGTTTTTTTGGTTCATCTGGTCAAGGTCTATGTCCCGTTTTTTTTATTTTTACGCAAAATTGCCAAAATTCAGTTTTTCAATCTGTCTCGTTCGTATTTTTGACCTTTTCCTGACCATTTTCGAAAATGATCTAAAGAGATTGTTTTATTGATTTCGACCTACCGAAGTCGTTTTCGGTTTCATTTCTTCGAAATTTTTTACGGTTTTTACAGACTGGCCAAAATAATAGGTTTTTGGAGTACTATAAAAATTTGATTTTGAAACCGAACATTTGAAAAATTAGTCTCCTAATCGACTTGGGTTTATTTTCTCCTGGTAGACGTGTCATTTCTACAAAACACATATTTTTGTCACAATTTTTGTTCACTCAGTTTTTCGCTTAATGGTAAAAATGCTACGATTGCTCCAAAAATTTTTTATAGATTTTTAACACAATTTCGCCAACGTATGAAATTTGAACTTTTCTCAAGTGCCATTGCAATTTACCACAATAATTTCTTTTGCTATCTTCGACACCCAGAAGTTTTTCAAGTTCTCATCTTTTTTTGAAAATTCTTACCATTTTTCTAGAATACCCAAAATAAAGGATGAGAATTTTTGACCATTTTAGAAAGTTGATTTTGGATGCGAATATTTCGGAAACCAATCTTCTTGTTGATTTGGGATTAGTTTCCCTCAGATAGATGTATGATCTTGTGCAAACACAATTTTTTCATCACTTTTTGGACACTCATTTCTTCAGGAATGATTCTAAAGAATTCCTTAATATATTTGTTTGGATTCCTCCGGAATTTTCGATGTTCGCCTGAAATCTTGGTCCGGGATCATGAACACGCATTTTTTTTTGAGTCCGTTCGCTAAAATCTCTCTCTAAGAATTTTTGTGGATTTTTGGGCAACTTTGACAAAAGTTCAACTTTTCCATTGAATTTTTGACCTTTTATCGAACACCTTCGAAAATTGTTGACCTATTAATTTGTTGTTGATTTTGACTTCCAGAGGTTGGTTTCCCTTTCATTTCTTGGAAATTCCTACTGTTATTCCAGAATTTCTGAAACGAAATGTGTCAATTTTTGGGACTTATTATTTGTGCCAAAAGTTCAACTTTTCAATACTCCCTCCTTTGAATTTTTGATCTTTTATCCAACACCTTCAAACATTCTTTAAAGAGATTCTTTTGTTGATTTTGACCTACAGAACTTGTTTTCGGTTTCATTTCTTGGAAAATTCCTACGGTTTTTCCAGAATTTCTGAAACGAAATGTGTCAATTTTTGTAATTTAAAAACGTGACTTAGAAACCGAATATTTGAAAAATTTTGGTCTGGCAATATTAATGCTTAATACGTTATGTTTTTTTGGTTCATCTGGTCAAGGTCTATGTCCCGTTTTTTTTATTTTTACGCAAAATTGCCAAAATTCAGTTTTTCAATCTGTCTCGTTCGTATTTTTGACCTTTTCCTGACCATTTTCGAAAATGATCTAAAGAGATTGTTTTATTGATTTCGACCTACCGAAGTCGTTTTCGGTTTCATTTCTTCGAAATTTTTTACGGTTTTTACAGACTGGCCAAAATAATAGGTTTTTGGAGTACTATAAAAATTTGATTTTGAAACCGAACATTTGAAAAATTAGTCTCCTAATCGACTTGGGTTTATTTTCTCCTGATAGACGTGTCATTTCTACAAAACACATATTTTTGTCACAATTTTTGTTCACTCAGTTTTTCGCTTAATGGTAAAAATGCTACGATTGCTCCAAAAATTTTTTATAGATTTTTAACACAATTTCGCCAACGTATGAAATTTGAACTTTTCTCAAGTGCCATTGCAATTTACCACAATAATTTCTTTTGCTATCTTCGACACCCAGAAGTTTTTCAAGTTCTCATCTTTTTTTGAAAATTCTTACCATTTTTCTAGAATACCCAAAATAAAGTATGAGAATTTTTGACCATTTTAGAAAGTTGATTTTGGATGCGAATATTTCGGAAACCAATCTTCTTGTTGATTTGGGGTTAGTTTCCCCAGATAGATGTATGATCTTGTGCAAACACAATTTTTTTCATCACTTTTTGGACACTCATTTCTTCAGGAATGATTCTAAAGAATTCCTTAATATATTTGTTTGGATTCTTCCGGAATTTTCGATGTTCGCCTGAAATCTTGGTCCGGGATCATGAACACGCATTTTTTTTTGAGTCCGTTCGCTAAAATCTCTCTCTAAGAATTTTTGTGGATTGTTGGGCAACTTTGACAAAAGTTCAACTTTTCCATTGAATTTTTGGCCTTTTATCGAACACCTTCGAAAATTGTTGACCTATTAATTTGTTGTTGATTTTGACTTCCAGAGGTTGGTTTCGCTTTCATTTCTTGGAAATTCCTACTGTTAAAAAATACAAAATATGATATGAGAAATTTTTGAGCATTTTAGTAATTTGATTTTCAGTTCGAATATTTCGTAGACCAATCTTCTTATTAATTTGGGATTAGTTTCCCTCGATAGATGTGTCATCTTGAGCAAACACAATTTTTTCGTCATTTTTTGGACTCCCAGTTCTTCAGGAATGATTCTAAAGAAGATATACCTGTTTCGATTCCTCCGGAATTTTCGATATTTGCCTATACTCTTGGTCCGGAATCATCAACACGAAATATTTTTTGAGCCCGTTCGTCAAAATCTGTGTCAAAGAAAGTTCAACTTTTCAATACTCCTTTTTTTGAATTTTTGACCTTTTATCGAACACCTTCGTAAATTCTCTAAAGAGATTCTTTTGTTAAATTTGACTTCTATATACCTACCCTTTTTTCAGAATCTCTAAATTAAAATATGGTAATTTTTGAGATATCTTAAAAATTTGATTTAGAGAACGAATTTTTGAAAAATTTAAATGACATATTAATACGTTATGTTTATTAGTACAGCTTGTCAAGATCTATGACCTGAATTTTTTTGTAGATTTTTAGGTAACTTTTAAATACTCCCTCGTTTGAATTTTTGACCTTTCATCGAACACCTTCGAAAATTCTCTAAAGAGTTCCTTGACTTCTAAATTTCTATCCTTTTTTCAGAATCTCTAAATTGAAATGTGGCAATTTTTGGGATATCTTAAAATTTGACTTAGAGAAAAATTCGGATGAGTAATTTCAACACGCTTTGGTTTTTGCTTCAGATCGTCAAGATCTTTGACCTGGATTTTTTTTATTTTTACGTACAATCTCCAAATGCAATCTGAGAATTTTTCAGACATTTAAAAATTGACTTTGAGCCCGACTTTTTCGAAAACCAATTTTCTTATTATGGTAATTTTTGAGATCTCAAAAATTTGAATTCGAAACCGAAAATTTATTTGAAAAATTTTGATCCGCAAAGGTTATTACGTTATGTTTATTAGTATAGCTTGTCAAGATCTATGACCTGAAATTTTTTGTAGATTTTTAGGCAACTCCTCTAAAAGCTCGGTCTCCCAGTATCCCTACATATGAAATTTTTGAGCTTTTCGTAGGTATCGTCGAAAATTACCAAAATAATTTCTTTTTTCAGTTTAATTTTGAGTTAATTCATGTTAATTTTTAATATAAATCTGAGATTGTCTTAAATGTTAGTGATAAAGTTTCGTGTTTAAATTTACAATAACCCCGTCATTTCATAAAAATAATTATCGATTTGTATTTGTCGACCTTTCCTGCAAATTATTTAGTCACTTTTTCTCTAATCCATCGATTTTAAATTAAAGTCCACCCACACTTCAACGCGTTACTGATTCTAAAACAACGTTTCCACTCTCCGTTTCCCCAGGAATAGCCGTAATAGAATTCCACAATCAAAAGCAACTGGTTTTAGTGTTTCCCGACCAAAGCTACATTCACAATCCTGCGACATTGTAGCATTGAAAATTTTACCCTTTACGATCACTACAAGCACTTTATTTCTAATTTTGTAAGGATTATGAGTCAACACAATGGCGTCTTTTATCTCCTGACCTGGGTTTTATGTTACCTGTAAAACTTCCATTGCTCCTTAATTGTTGTTTAAGGCGTCCTGAACCAACTTTCCTGCAACGATATCATCCGCCCGAAGTGCCGGAAAATCGCCCAATTAAAAAATTACTACCGGCATTGTAGTCTGAGTAGTAGAAATTATTAGTTGAAGTTAAAAAAATGAAATTCTTTGTCAACAGGTTGGAGCCGGCCTAAGACGAAAGACGACTCCGAAAACGGCGACACCGACGCCGAAATTGAGCCTTTGATCATAGACCGAGGTCCTTACTTCGATAAAACCGCCTCCCGAAATGTGACGGCCCTCGTCGGCAAGACCACTTATTTAAACTGCCGAATTAGGAATTTAGGGAACAGAACGGTGAGTACCGCCAGTGATGCTAATGGATTTCGGATATCTGAGTTTGATTCGTGTTGGTTTTATCGTTATTGTAGCAATAAGTCGTTTATTAGTCCCGACAAATAACTTTCGGTGTTTGTGGATGAGTTCATGACAATAGCCATTATCGGTTTTCGTTTAGGCCACAAAATAATCCATTTCTGTAGCTATAAACACCCACTGTAATGGATACATTTCGCAATAATCACAAAGGGAGTGAGATTGGAGCCGTTCTTTCGATTATTAGCAGAACGCGAAAGCTGGGGACTAGAGACAAAATCGGGACTTGTATATATGTTTCTAAAGAAACAAAAGACACTTTATTTTCGTTTCAGACGTCTCTTCCTAATCTATCCCCCACCTGCGGCTCCCCTCACTAATGAGGTTGTGTTTGGTAGAAGCTTTAAATTATGTGAAACACAATCAAACTCAACTTTCCAAATAACAGCACAAAGCGGCTTCCAGTCTCCCGAATTAACCTGGTCTTCCCTGATCAAAGCCGCCACCTTGTTTATCTCCATTCTAATTTAGCCGATGCTTTCACTCACCCTTCCATCGCCCAATCTTAATCATTTCGGTGTTGACAGTGTTGACGAAGGTCAGTCGGTCCGGCCGATTGAATTACCAGCGTTCGAGTATCATCTCATCACCCAAAAATAGCGCACCGGATTCATTAAGCTCCGGTTCAGCCTACCGCGCTTATTAATTACGCCACTAGTGGCACCCGTTGTCGGAATAATAAAATATTTACTCAGATTAGATACGAATCCCATTTCCGTCTTGAAAAATCAACCCTCTCCCATATAACAATAACACAACGAGGAAAAGGGCAATTGGCTGATAGGGCCGGGCTGAAACAATGCTTCCTTTGTTTGCTTTCTTGTATGGAGAGGGGGAGTGTGTCGAGGAAAGCGGTTTAGAGGGTTAATGTACGAAAAAACGGCAGATCTATCATTTGCGGATGGGGAAAGGGTGGAGATTGGGGAAATTGGGAGGCGATATCTGGGCGATACGAAAAATACAAACATAAATGCATTTGTTGTCAATGAGGGGGTTTATCGGGAGGGAGAACAAAGGCTGAATAATGCCGGGGATTATTTTTTATTGTTGCGGACTGACAGTGTCTTTTTAGTATTACATCTACATTGCTAATGAAATTTGCCGAATAAATATAAAAATACAATCTAAGTTTATGTACGCTGCTATTGTGTATCTGCTGTGTTTGTACTTTCTGTAACGGTTTTTTTTTGTGTGATGGGATAAGTTAAATTTTTACATAAAGTAGATACAGTGGAATTTATTTACGCAGATGCAAGGTAATTTATTTCGAGTTCGGTTTCTTTCGTTTAAGAACTTGTTGGATCTAGAGACCAGCGCGTGAGCAAGCCAATGTCGACTCTAAGCGTTCAGAAGCGATTTGGTTAACGAATAAGTGAACATGCTTTTTAACTAAGTTGTTTGAAATTGTAATAATGCAATGGATTTTTTTCGGGAAAATAAAGTTATTTTTATGTTTTGGAAATGTTGGGTTCTACTTCCTATGAATTTTTAAAAGTTTTTAGTGACAATTTTATTTTAGTGACATTGATAAAAAAAATGGAAAATTAAAATAATTGAAAAATCTGGTAAATTGAGAAATCTAAAAATCGAAAATTCGAAAAATTTTAATTTTAAAAAATTGAATAATCGAAAAATGTAAAATTTAAAAAATCGAAAAATTAAAAAATAGAAATATCGAAGAACTGATAAATTGGAAAAACTGAGAAATTCAAGTATCAAAAAATCAATAAAATGGAAAATTTCAAAATTTAAAAATCGAGAAATCAAAAAATTGAAAAGCTAATAACTGAAAGACTAAACCAAAAAATTGAAATATCTAGATATCGAAAAATCAAAAGACCGAGAAATCGAGAAGCCAAGAAGTCGAAAAATCGAAAAACCGAAAAATCGAAATATGTGGAAATCGAAAAATCGAAAATTAAAAATCGAAAAATAAATAATCGAAACGTTGAAAGATTCTAAGGCTGAAACATCGAGAAATCAAAAATCAAAAGTTGGAAATCGGAAAATTAAAAAATAGAAATACCGAAGAACTGATAAATTGAAAAAACTAAAATTCAAGTATCAAAAAATCAATAAAATTAAAAATTTCAAAATTTAAAAATCGAAAAATTGAAAAATCGAAAAACGGAGAATTCGAGAAATTAAAAGATCGAGAAATTCAGTAGTCGAAAAGTCGAAAAATTATGAAACCGAAATAGGCCAAAGTCGAAAAAGCGAGTAAAAATCGAAACATCCAAATCTCGATAAATCGAGAAATCAAAAAATTGAAAAACTAAAAACTGAAAGACTAAACCAAAAAATTCAATTATCCAGATATCGAAAAATCAAAAGATCGAGAAATCGAGAAGTCAAGAAGTCGAAAAATCGAAAAACCGAAAAATCGAAATATGCCAAAATCGAAAAATCGAAAAGTTAAAAATCGAAAAATAAATAATCGAAAAATCGAAATGTTGAAAGATTCTAAGGCTGAAACATCGAGAAATCGAAAATCAAAAGATGGACGAATAGAGAAGTAAAAAAAAAGAAAAGCCGAATATTTGAAAAATCAAAAAATTGAAAAAAAGAGAATTTAAAACCGGAAAGTCGAAAAATCGAAAGACTGGAAAATCGAGATCTCAAAAAGTCTAAAATTCTAATGTTCCAAAAATTTGACAAATTTGAATATCAAAAAGTCGAAAAATCGAAAAATTGAGATGCCAAAAGAGGACAAAATCCAAAAATCTAAAAGTTAAACAGCGAAAAATTGAAAAATCGGAACAACGAAAGATTCAAAAACTGAAACATCGAGAAATCGAGAAGTCAAGAAGTCGAAAAATTAAAAAATTCAGAAGTCAAAAGAGGCCAAAATCCAAGAATCGAAAAGTTAAACATTGAAAAATTGGAAGATCGAGAAATCGAAAAATTAAGAAACCGAAATTGACCAAAATCGAAAAATCGAAAAGGTAAAAATTGAAAAATCGATAAATCGAGAAATCAAAAAATCGTTAAAGCGTAAATTTGAAAAATCGAAAAATTGAAAAAAAAAAATGAAAACTGGAAAGTCGAAAAATCGAAACGTCAAAAAGTTGAAAAATTTAAAATTTAAAAATTCGAAAAACCGAAAAATTGAAATATCAAGAAATCGAAAAATCAAAAGATCGAGAAATCGAAAAGTGGAAAAATCAAGAATTCGAAGAATCGAAAAATTGGGAAATTGAAATATCAAAAAAGCAATAGAATGAAAAATTCCATAATTTAAAAATCGAAAAATCGAAAAATAGAACCGAAATAAGCCAAAGTCGAAAAAGCGAGTAAACATCGAAACATCCAAATCTCGATAAATAGAAAAATCAGAAATTTGGAAAACTAAAAAATTGAAAGATTAAAACAAAAAACGAAAATTCGAAAATTTGAAAGATCGAAACATTCAAAAACAAAAAAATCTAAGACCTCGAAGTCGAAAAATCGGAAGATCGAGAAACCGAAAAATTGAGAAACCGAAATTGACCAAAATCGAAAAGGTAAAAATTAAAAAGTCGATAAAACGAGAATTCAAAAAATCGAAAAAGTGCAAATTTGAAAAATCGAAAAATTGAAAAAATAAAAAATGAAAACTGGAAAGTCAAAAAATCGAAACGTCAAAAAGCTGAAAAATCAAAAATTTAAAAATTCGAACATTTGAAAAATTGAAATATCGAAAAATCGAAAAATCAAAAGATCGACAAATCGAGAAGTCAGAAAATCGAAAAAAAGAAAATTTAAAACCGGAAATTCGAGAAATCGGAACGACAAAAAAATATAAAACTGAAAAATACGAAAAACTGAAAAATACAAACAGTAAAAAATCGAGAAATCGAAATATCGAAAATTGAAAATTTGGAGAAAAGCTGAAGAATAGAAAAACTGAAAAATCCCAAAACCGAAATATACAAAAGTCGACAAATTAAAAAGTTGAAAAATTGAGAAATCTAAAAATCAAAAAGCAAAGTTCGAAAGTCGAAAAATTGAAAAACCAAGAACCTGAAAATCGGAAAATTGAACTGAAGAAATGAAAAATTGAAACAGTCGAAAGTCGAGAAGTCCATAAATGGGAAAATCCAAAAATCGAATAAAATTGAAAATTTAAAAATGTCAAAAACTGAAAAATTGAAAATTTTGCAATATTTGAAAATCGCAAAATTGAAGAGGAGAAAAACTAAAAAATCGTAAAACTGAGACATCAGAAAATTGAGAACTAAAAAAATAAAAATCGAGAGATCGAAAATTTGAAAAATCGAAAAATTGAATAATTGAAAAAAAAAAAATAATAAACCGGAAAATCGAAACATCAAAAAGATGAAAAATCAATAATTTAATAATTCGAAAAGCTGAAAAATTGAAATATCAAGAAATTGGGAAATCACAAGGGCAAATAATCCAGAATTCTAAAAGTCGAAAAGTTGAAAAAATCGACAAACTGGAAACAGAAATAGGCCAAAATCGAAAAGTTAAAAATTAAAAAATTGACAAATCTTGATAAATCGAGAAATCAAAAAATTGAAAATCCGAAAATTTTAAAAGTAGAATAATTGAAAAATTGAAAAAAAAAATTAAACCGGAAAATCGAAAAATCGAATGATAGAAACCGAAACATCAAAAAGATGAAAAATCTGTAATTTAAAAATTCGAAAAGCTGAAAAATTGAAATATCAAGAAATCGGAAAATCACAAGAACAAAAAATCGAGAATTCGAAAAGTAAAAAGTCGAAAAATCGACAAATTGTGAAACGGAAATAGGCCAAAATCGAAAAGTTAAAAATTCAAAAATTGACAAATCTTGATAAATCGAGAAGTCAAAAAAAATTTAAAACCGAAAAATCGAACAATCGAAAGATTGAGAAATTGAAACGTCGAAAAGTTAAAAAATCTAAAATAAAAAATACGAAAAGTTGAAAAATACA